TAAAAGAGCAAACCTTAAGTGAGTTACTTTAAAATGTCGCTTATTGGCGACTCATCAAATTCTTGATCCGCATTTGGTCATCTTACCCTAATCTCACGTCTACGAAAAAGGATTCCGAACAAAAGTCGCCGGATAAAGTCTGCCGTGTGCTAATTGAAGTTTAGCTTGTCCAGCAAAGAATTAATTCCAATTCCGATCGCGATTTAATTACGGAGATAGCGGCGTTTCGTTCGTTCGTTTCAGTACATCGTGTCTAATTGAGCGACTGGACCCTTATTATTAGAGCGTTAGAAACGATTATTGGAACCGATCTACGTCCACGATCGCCATCCAAAACGTAACAGTAAATCTCGGAGCGCACGGCTCACGTACGACGTGTATGAGGGAACAAGGAAGCCCCTGGCATACGAAGGTCGATTGATTGGAATGCCGTGTTGTGATTACAGCGTCTCTATCGCGCTTACCGGGATATTGCGGCGTGATATAAAACCGATGTTACGCGCGAGCGTGTGCGTGTACCCTACCTATTCGTTGTTTTCACCACGATTGTTGCTGTTCGATTACAGGAAGCCGGGAGACCTGCGACATCGAAGGGGAAGATATCACGGTCGATAAGATCCTGAACACGAGCTGCTTCCGCTGCATTTGCAAGGTAAACCGCGCGCATCCGAACACTGCCGATCGGCGTCTAATTGCGCAGGAAATTACAACCGAACAAGTTACGCCAATTAAATTTGATAAGGCAGATGAGTTTAATGTTTCTCGGAGACTCGAGGGGGGGGAGGGAGATACTATCTCGGCTTAATTATCAATCAAGATACACGATGTTACGGGGAAAAGTAGAGACATAACGATCATCTGCGATAGATCGAACTTCGCGCGATTGCGAAATTTAAAAGTTGGGACACATCACGCCCTATAAATCTTCCTCAGAGAGTCAATTTCGGGTTCGACGAAGAATATTGAGACGTCCCATATATCGTAACACGACCAAGTGTTTCAATACGAAAGAGGAATGCGAACGCAACAGGGGAGTGCATGGGCGAGGAACACGTATGTATCGAGTGACGCGCCGACAAGACTAGCGGGAATCGCGAAAAAATCCGCCTGGTCGTATCCGATACGGCGCGGTTCTTCTCTCAAGAGAGAGAGAGAGAGAGAGAGAGAGAGACAGAGTGAGAGGGGGAGGGGGGAGAGGGGTAGGTAAGCGCAGAAATCGCGAGGGAGATGGAGAGCTGCGTGACCGTTTTCATAGTCCAGTTCGTAGATTGTGTCGTTATCAAAGGCGACGAGGCAACGCCATGTGGTGACGGAACGGTTAAAGGGGTTAAAGTAGCTTGGCCTGGTTCGGGAGGTCAAAGAGAGGAATTTCCACATCGATCCGTTCGACGCGATCGACTCGCGGTCCGCGCACACAGGCACCGCCGGTCGTCGGCTCGCACGCGTGCATCTTATGACGCGCCGCCGTAGCCTCGATGCATCTCCCGACGCACCGACCGCATCGCGAATGATCTTAGCGCGACCGCGGCGATTTATCTGCGCGTTTGGTTCATTGACTCGTCGACTCGTGGCCGACCGAGATGAGGCTTCTTGTTTTCGCCCCGCTGCCGCCACCGCCGCCGCACCGCGCCGACGTTGCTACCGCTGCTGTTACCGCTGCTGCTGGTTGTGCTGCTGCTTGCTACCGCAATTCGAGCGGCATGCTGGCGGCGGCGTGTGACATAATTATTTGTTTGTTACGCCGAGGCGGTCGGCCGCGATCAATCATTCGCGATTTATGAGACACGATCGTAAATCACGCCCGAGTGAACGAACATTTTAGCTTCGACGAATGCTTGCGCGTCTATTTCTTTACTTCCCCTCCCCCCCCGCCCCTCGCAGATTTATTAATTTCTCAATTACTTAGCTAATTTCATATCGCGCAGTAATGGGTCTGCATATTCCTACACGAAGCATGTTTCTACAATTATACTGTAATGAAAATTAAGTCATAATAATTAATACTTAAGCCAACCCCTTGGGTATATTTACTTCAAGTGAAGTAAAAGTAATCTTTCAAATGTAAGAGTTTACTTAAAGAAGTTAAAAGTTTACTTCAGAAATGTTAGCGTAATTTTGGACGCTTAAGGGGATGCTGGAAGTGATTCTGCACTTTTGCACCTTTCTAACCTAGAAACTGTTAGTTCACGGAAACATTTGTGTAATATGCAAAATAAATGGCTTACGTGTACAGATCGAAAGCAGCTTGCTATTCCGGCTAAATGAAAGAACAATATGGCATCGCTGAAACTTATAAGTTTGTAAGTCTAATAAAAAATAAGTGAGCAATACACACATACAGTACATGTAGTATGTGCGTTGCTCACTATTATTTTTTATTAGACTTACAAACTTAGTTTCAGCGATGCCATATTGTTCTTTCATTTAGCCGGAATAGCAAGCTGCTTTCGATCAGTACACGTAAGCTATTTAATTTGTATATTACACAAGTGTTTCCGCGAACTGATAGTCTCTAGGTTAGAAAGGTGCTAAAGTGCAGAATCACTCCAGCATCCCCTTAAAGTAATTTTTAGATAGCCAAACCTGTCGAAGTTCCCGCTAGAGGGCCGCGCGGCATAGCACTTTCTCGTAAGAAGAAAACCGCGCGCTGTATTACAAATTATAGTATATCACATACTTTTCACAATTCTTTAAAAGTTTAAAGTGTCCAAATTTACTTTTCATATTTCTTATTTCTCTAAAGTAACATAAGGTTTTCTACGGTATATTTTCCCAAGGAACGGCGTACTAATAAGGAGAGTTTTAGATCAGGTGACTTGAAGCTAAATCCTGATTGGCTCTCGTAAGCAACCCAGTAGGAAAAAATAGTGTGGTGTACCGTTGCCTTTGGCTAATACAAAAAGATACAAATATGTGCGATTGTGATAACGTGCATTGGATATCATCATTTGTGATATTCACTTATAAAGAAATGCGATTACAAGATTTAATTTAATAACGAAGCGAAGATGAAATTTATGTGCGGATTTTTAATTATTACACATGTACTTGCTTTTTTTATTTCGTCGAGCCTTGTTTTTTTTCCCTACATCTTTATCTAGGATCGTTTTGGTATATTGCTTGTTTCCATCTCGCCGCCCGTTTCTTACGGAAATGATTAATTAATTACCGAGCACGTCGCGTAAAAATGTCAGTTTTATGCGAGGGAGCCCAAAAAGCAGAGATCTTTCTTTCCGCGGCACGCCTAATTAGGTCCGTCTCGCGCGTCTGGAACGTATGTGACCGGCCGACCCACGTTAAATTAGTTTACGTAATTCTGACAGAAGATAAATCCGCAAAGACTTAATTATAGAACCCGATAACGAAACCGGAGAAATAATTACTGGAACGCGATAACGTGGACGTGGACGTGAAATCGGAACAAGACGGGGCGATAAAAAGAAATCAAGCCGGAATTTCGCCGTCGCCGCCGCGCTGCGGCGCGGCGTGACTCAATCGCCGCGCCGGCCAGATTCCCGATTCATAATACGTTTTATTTCGAGTGTCCACATTCTTCTACCGCAGCCCGTGCATCTCGCGTTTTTCCTCGTGCCAAACCGTGACGAAATTATCTCCTCGACGAAACATCGCGGGTAATTGGCAATTTCAGCAAATGATCACACTGAGAAAGCTTTTCATTGGATAAATCGATGAGGTGGTGATCCCGATGGAAAATTAACCATCGGTTTTTCTGATTAAGTTTCCCAATTAAATATATTCGATGAAATTTATCCAATAAAATTGCAGTTACCGATGAAATTAAACCGAAAAACCGATTATATTTTTTATCGGGTATACAATTTAATTGAATACATACATCCATTTGTTGATATGTAATTGATTATCCGAGTAGATAGGCCAGGATAATTTTCTCAGTGCAATCTTTGTATCTATTGTCCTGCAAGTATTGCGGATTATGTTCAAAGGGTGTATATAATTTATTAGTCAAATATTTATGGCAAAGGAGATATTCCTTTCCCTTGCACGGAATTATAAATAAATCAAAACTTTTCTCTCGTTGTACACATACAATCTACAGATTGCATCTCAGAAGTCGGCATTTACCCTAAACATATAAAAAGCCGATAGAAAGTATGTTGAATTAAATTAAATTAAAATGAGATCAAAGTATGCGTTCTGTCGAACAACCCCATGTTCTCTCTTCCGTGTCCAAGAGAAATAAATGTTCGTCCCTTTTCTTTCCAGAATGGGTTCGTGGAGTGCGTGAAGCAACAGTGCCCGAACATCGAAGGTTGCTATGCGTTGCAGGACCCGCAAGAGAACATGTGCTGCCGCGAATGCAAAGGTAGAATGCTTGTCCGTCCGCTAATTCGTCTAATTATCCTAATCATTCTAATTGGCCCGAGCCTACCCGCAAATGGGAAGGAGTGAGGTAGGGAGGGTATGCCGGCGGCGGTAAGAAGGAAAGGCGAAAACTCGCGGAATGCCGGCGGAGCATTGTTCCCGGGACACAAAGGCACTTCTGTTTGCCGGCACGATGATAAACCCGAGGAACTTTAGCGTCACAGTCTCTCGCGGCTGTCTCTGTTTACGAAATGTAACTGACAGATGCACGCTCTTCGTTATCGTCCACTATTAATTATGTTAATGGTGACGTAAGTCCGCTCGCCGCGTAGCGCCTGCCGAAGACGAAATCCGCCCGCAAATTGTTTGAAGTGCGCCGAGAAAATGTAAAGCCTATCACACAATGCGAGGCAACAGGCAACAGGAATAGGGAATAGAATTTTTGACGCGTTGGATTGGTTGAAGGAAAATTTCCGACGAATCCAACGCGTCAAAAATTCTATTCCCTGTTCCTGTTGCCTGTTGCCTGGCATTGTGTGATAGGCTTAAGGATAAGTCACAAAGCATAAGGAGATCGCCAACAGCTCCGAGAGGCAAAAGAGATCAACGCGGCGCCGAAAATCCAAAAAGAATTCTTTTTCAATCCCCGAATTGTGAAATGATTTCTTTTCTCGTCCCGTTTCGTTCTAAAACCACTCTTAAAAACTCAAAAATAATTTGTATGTCATCAATTCTGAGCTGTTTTTCGGGTACAAAAGGAATTTTTCTTCGACAAGAATTCGCACCGGAAAGGAATTCTTTTGGGATTCATTTTGAACAGATTACGCTAATTCATAAAGAATTTTAAAAAGTAAATTCCCTTTAAGTTCATAGCGCTCACCTGTGCTATTTGAGAATGTTTTTGCATTGGTAAGGAAACTAAGCGTATATTATCCTAATAACTGTTGCCTCCGCGCGTTGCAGCGCCGAATTTATTAAAAAATATGCCATCTTGGAATTAATAATAGCCTCACAATTAACGATTGTCTTGTCCAACTTTTAATTCGCCGGCATATGTGTAATTTGTTCGATATTTGATTTCGAGCGTAAACGATTGTACTTAAGAGGACTTCGGTCGCTTTTACGTATCGCAGAGTGCACATGGAACGGAAAAACCTATGAGTCGGACATGGAATGGACGGACGAAAAAGATCCCTGCCGAAAATTCGTCTGTAAAGCGGGCGTCATCACCGAATCAGAGCTAGTGTGTTACACGCCCTGTTCCAATCCGACAAACGTAACTGGCCAATGCTGTGGCATATGCGAAGGTGCGTAACTCGCTTCTTCTTCCCCTTGCGCGCTTTGATGTTGCTGCTGCTGCTGCTAATTACCCACGCCAATCTCACAAATATTTCTCACGATCCCCTGAATGCATCCCGCCGCGCAATTAAGACTGGAATGTTCCGCCGATATAACGAGGGGAGAACGATAATGATTGAAAATTACAGCGCCGCTTCTACCCGACGAAAAACGAACGGACGATAACGCGTGTGTTGTAACGTTCTCTTTCTCGTCTTCTTTGGAATAACGTAACCACGTAAATTTACCACCACATCCCTGCGCCACGGAAAAAAAATAGTTTCGTTGATTCAGCAAATCTCGCTGAACAAAGTTAAACGTTTTAAATAAGTAAATTTGCTGATGCAGCAAAGAAGTGGTGCGCGAGAGCAATCGTCACCTTGTTCATAGAGTAAATTGATTTTTGTTGAAATTATTAGTTACTACGATGAGTCATTTTTACTAACAATAAGTACGGTAAGTAAACCACAAACAACGCCATAAACAAAGGCGTCGCGAAATCCCGTGCGTCTGCCTACATTGGCAGTCTCTGCGTTTCAAAATTCACCGCCAGCTCTAAAATCTACTGTGTACGTGTACCATAGATTCGGCGCTGGTAATGAATTTGGAAATACAGCCATTATATGGGGCTTTGATTCTCGAACTCACGTGAAATTGTTTGCATATGAAATGGGCCATATTCCGTGTAGTGTGAGCGATTGTCCAAACGCTAGTCGCGAAATTCAGTGCAGTTTACGTGATCGTAAGTCTCTGAGATTTTATGTAAAAATAAAATATTTAACTTTTAACTTTTTTTATTATTAATTTAACGTTTAATTCAATTAATTATATTACGGATTAACTTTTATTGTAAGTTAAATTTTCAGGGCTGTTAACTTTAACTTAATTTAGTTACAAAAAAAAGGATAACTTGCCCAACCCTGATATTTTTTATTGGTTGTAAAGAATCATCTTTGCTGTATTAATAAATCTACTGTACCATCCAATTTTATTAGGCACAACTATTGTACAAATCTTAGGCAGCTCTGCGATTTAGTTAATGAGACATAGCAAACTGGCTGTTTGTATATTACGGTTGTAAATTTGCTAAGCCCACAGGTTTTTTTGTTGTCAAAACATATCTTTTTTCCGTGGCGCGCGTAACATCTCACATCGTACGAATAGTACAATTGCAATCCGTTTCTTTTTTCGCGGTGACACGTCTATTTCGCATAAATTAATATTTTAACGCGACCAAAAATACGATGGCTTCACGTCTGAATACAGAGAAAAGGAAGTTAACAATAAGCGCAAAACGTTCGATCTCGCCGCGTTTTGCAGGATGTTTGGTGAACGGACAGAAAGTAACGGAGGACAGCTCGGTGACGACTACGGAGGATCCATGTGTAACCTGCAAGTGCAACAAGGGACATCTCACCTGCGCGAAGCTAGCCTGTCCGACGCTCAATTGTCCTGACACCAGGATCGTCGACGAACCTGGGGAATGCTGCCCACGCTGCCGAGGTGAAAGGAGTTACATGATTTTCATTATTGGAAATGAATATTGCGAAATAACTGTATCTCTGCCCCGAAAAGCAATTTTCACATTTTAGGGAGATCCACGTTCGAATCCTGGTGTCCTGGCGCGCCTTTCTTTTTTTTGATTATCAATACTGAATTTTTAATATGAAAAAAGTACACTAAGATCGAGAAAAAATTTCTCCATTTGAATGTGGATTTGACCCAACTTGCAACTCGTATACTCCATTTAGAATTCTTTTTTTTTTAATAATTCGATCAATTTTTCCATATTGATATTATCCTTTTAATCTCCTTAATTTATTTTCTATATGACGACAGAGTTGCTAATTATAATATAGGTAGAATATCGCTTAAAGGATTGCCTTGTTGCGTAAGCATCTCGATGCCGAGCGATCAAATTAATAACGATCGGAGTTTTATTTCAACATTTTTCAAGAGGAACATTTTCTAGGCAATTGCACAAACAATTAAAGTCACTTTGAATTTATAGGTCATTCCGATCTCTCTCACAATACCAGATGTATTGCGCGAACCGGTTTTATACGAATCTGATTATTTTCCAATGTCGCAATTGCGCAAAAACCAGCCGCACGTAATATTACGATTGTCATCTAGCCATCCAAGAATACGCGCTGCCATTTAGCTCTGCATATCTCACTACAACTTTCCAATTCTGCATTAAAATATAATGCAAAGTGTATGAAAATATCCCGATACCTGAAATATATTGCGACAATTACGTCGGATAGAAATAGTCGTAGCGTTAAGGCTACGTAAATTAGACAACCATTACATAAAATTTACATAAAATTTACAAATATCACTGCCTATAGATATCTATTTGTATCTCACCGCAGGTAACGTTCGATTATGCACAAAAAACCAATTCGCGTTATTGCATGACAAGGGAACGACTCAGTCTCACTTATAGCGCGATTTCTGATAGCGCATATTCAAGTTAAAGGATTCAAAACACTACTTTTGTTACACAGGTAGCGCAAAATTTTTCTCGCCCCCGAAAGGCGCGTGTATGCTCGGCACGCGTTTGTACAATTCGGGTAGTAAGTTTCACGTGGATCACTGTACGCTCTGCACCTGCGTCGATTCGGTTATCTCATGCAACAGACGTACTTGTCCGGTGCTGGAATGCCCGAAGGAGCATCAGTTGATCTCACCCAACGAGTGTTGTCCGGCTTGCCCGGACGTCGAAGAGAGCAGAACCTCTTGCTCTTACGGCGGAAGAACCTATGTGGCGAGTATCATGCTTTTCTTCGCCGTTGTGCAATCTTATGGCTCAGTCAGACTGAACGCGATGAGCGATGAGCGACGCGCGATATCCAATGGGCGTGCAGTCTTTATAGGAAAACTGTACGCTTTCCCATAAAACCTGTACGCTCATTGGATAATCGCGCGTCGCTCATCGCGTCCAGTCTGAATGAGCCATTATTCGTCGCATGAACAACGTGATCAGATACTGAACTGAAAGAATTCTCGAGTAAATAGTGAAATTTCGACCCACAGAGCTCTAATTAGAAACTACAGGGATATCGTTTGAATAATAACATTTCGATTAATTAATACCGAGTTATTCTTTACGTAAAAACTTAATTTTGTCGCGTGAATCTCCTCGAGACACCTTCATTTCCTATCTGTTTACATTGCCGTTAGGCGTTTCGTCTTGTCATGGTTTAAACGACCCTTTTTTGTCCTAGGCAGGATGGCGACAAATGGGAGTTGGATTCCTGCAAGACATGTATCTGCAAACAGGGCAAAGTGCGCTGCGCAATGCCTCAGTGTCCGCCGATGAACTTTCCCTGCCCGCCAAATTCCAAGTTGGAGCATCCGAAGGGTCAATGCTGCCCGCGATGTGTCGAGCGTGAGTTTGTGCGCTCCCTTTCTCCCTCCCTTCCTCCCCCTCTCCCCCCTCTCTTTCTCTACATTTAGATATTTAAATATAAAATTACTAATGCTTTCAGGTGACGGAGTTTGCACGGTTTTCGGAGATCCGCATTATCGAACGTTCGACGGTAAATTCTATAGCTTCAAAGGACCGTGCAGGTACCAGCTGGTTACCGATTGTTTCTTTCACACATTCAGTATACGCGTGACCAATGATGCTAGAAGAACGAAGTTCTCAGCGTGGACCAAAACTATCGCCATAAAGGTGCGTTAAATTACACGAAACTGAGTAAGAAAAGTTATGAAACAAATCATATGAAGTATCATTATCGCATTCGAATTTTATCGAATAACATCATATTACCCGTGCAATAATATTGCCTGTTTGAATAATAGTATAGCGTTTAAAACTGCTTTTATCTATCTTTTCTCAAAAGATAATTCATAATTTTCAATTGTATGCAAATGAGATCCTTTAGATCCTGATTAGATAAACCGATTAACAATAATGTGAAATAAAATCTACGCTGTGGCAAGGCCTCCCTCTTGTTCTATTTGAAAAGAATCCTATATATCGCACATGGAATTGGACGAAAGAGAAGAAACTTTCGTCATATTTGTGTCTCCCTCGATCATATTGCAGATCGGCGACTTGAAAGTGAATCTTGGCCAAAAAATGAGAGTGAAGGTGAACGGGAAGAAGGTAGACGTTCCTTATCGTATCGCTAACCAACTGGACATCAACCGCACGGACGAGAGTGTGCTCGTTAATACTCGGATCGGGGTCAAGGTCCTTTGGGACGGCATCAGTTTTCTCGAAGTGTCCGTACCTTCGTCATACAGAGGTCAACTATGCGGTCTTTGTGGCAACTTCAATTCCCAAATCAAAGACGATTTCACTGAGCGACAAGGACGAGTGGTGCAGGATGCGCAGCAGTTCGGTCAATCATGGGCCGTTGGTGCCGCCAAGAAGATGTGCGCTCGACCCCCGAGACTCGGAAATGCCACTAGGCAGAGACGTTGTCGGGAAAGGAAGGATCAGCGGTACTCTATAAAATCTTATTAATTTTTTATATGTTTCTACAGCGTATCAGAAGCGAAAAGAATATTTTCATTGCATAGATGCTATTTTATCTAACTAGAAACAATAGCTACAAAATAATTTCTTTGATATCCTAATATTTTTAATATTTACATAAAAAATGCAGTTTTAAAATTGCTAGTTTCTATTAGTAATACTAAATTTACTATTCATAATTAAATCGTCAGATTATCGGCTGGCAATTATTTTTTTCTCTTTCATTGTTTCATCAAGCGTTTTAATAATACGATCAATAAGCGTGTTCAAAATTTATTCTATGCCCTTTTCAAAACAAACGCTTCATCCTGTGACAATGCTATTAACAATTTGCCTCTCTGTCATTGCAGATTGTGTAATCGACTGAAATCACAGATTTTCTATCCCTGCCACAAAAAGGTGAATCCGGCGATGTACTACAAAGCCTGTCTTCAAGACATGTGTGAGTGCCCGACCCAGCACTGCTACTGCGAGTCCTTCATGGCGTACGCGCACCAATGCAAGCGACTCGACATCCCGCTGCCGCACTGGCGGAAGGCCACGAGGTGTCGAACCGTTTGGGACCAGCCAATAAGCCCAACGAATTTCGCTCGCCGCTTACATTAATCGCGCACTTTATCCACCGCCGCGTCCGGTCTCTATCCCGAGTGCAACAAGAACGGCCGCATCGAACTTGCTGTACATTCTGCATGCATTTAGAGAGTGAGAGAGAGAGAGAGAGAGAGAGTGAGAGAGAGAGAGAGAGAGAGAGAGAGAGAGAGAGAGAGAGAGAGAGAGAGAGAGAGAGAGAGA